TGAAATAGAAAAATTTGGAGGTAGTTCTCCCAACCTTGGTCTAATCCAAAGGTTTTTTGATTGCCTCCTTAATTATGAGTTGTAGGATTTGGGCTTCAAAGGGAACTTTTTTTACCTGACAGAGAGGTAATACTAAGGAAAGAATTGATAGGGTAGTTGTGAATAAGGGATGGAGGAATATCTTTTAGTATAGCTCTGTTATACACCTTTCTTTATTGAAATCTAACAGTATGGGCCTCTGACTTAGAATTCAAAATAGTAATGCCCCCTTATCATAGTGCACCTTTTAAATTTCTTCCTCCTTGGATCTCCCACCTCGATTTCCAAACTCAGGTCCATAATTCTTGGGTTAGCTCTATGTCCTGGGTTGATAACATCCAAAGGTTCAAATCGAACATCTCTAATTGGAATAAATCCAACTTTGACAATATTTTTAATAACAAGAAACGCCTTCTAAATAGGATTGAGGGAATTGCTTGCAAACTAACCAATGGGAATAATCCCTTCCTGTGTAATCTTATGATTAATATTTGGAAGGACTATCAGCATATCCTTGACCAGGAGGAATCTTACTGGTATCACCATTGTAGGGCTAGGTGGCTTAACCTTGGAGATAGAAATACTAAGTTTTTTTCACTCTGCTGCTAGAATTAGAAGGCAAAAGAATAAAATTGAAGCTTTGAAAGAAGAGTTAGGTAATTTTGAATATGATCCCATTAAGTTGCATGCCCTAGCCCTCGATTACTTTTAGGACCTTTACTCTGATCCCTGTCCTACCACCTCTAGATTGGTTACTCTTAGTTCTTTTCTCCCTCTGCGGGACTCAAATAAGTGCAGGCTTTCTACCTCTATTTCTTTAGAAGAAGTCAAATCCTCCTTGTTTAATATTAGGAACTTTCAGTCCCATGGCCCTGATGGTCTGCATGCTCTGTTTTTTAAGAATCAATAGGACTTCTTGGCCCCCTTTATTTTAAAGTGTGGTTCTGGATATTTTTAATGATCCCACTAAAATTTCAGCAGTTAATGAGACTGGTATCACTCTTATTCCTAAAGTTGATAGCCCTGATTCTATTAAGAATTTTAGACCTATTTTTCTTTGTAATTTAAGTTACAAAATTATTACTAAGCTTCTTGCTAATAGGTTAAGAGAATCTCTTCCCAATCTAATATCTACTAATCAGTCCAGCTTTATTCCTAGCAGGCAGGGAATTGATAATGCCCTAGTCTTACAGGAACTCATACATTCTTTTCATAATCTAAAAAGTAGAAGTAGCTTCATGATCATCAAATTAGATTTAGAGAAGGCTTATGAGAAGCTAAGATGGAATTTTGTAACTGAAACACTTCAACAAATTGGTTTAGAATCCTCTCTGGTTAGCCTTATTTCTCACTGCATTTCTTTCCCTTCTATGCATATTAACTAGAATAATGGGGTTACTGACTCCTTTAAGCCCTATAGGGGCCTTAGGCAGGGGGACCCCTTATCCCCCTATCTTTTTGTTCTTTACATAGAAAGACTAGTCCATATGATTCAAGATAGGATTCTTAGTAGAGATTGGTCCTCTTTTAGTTTTGGTACTCAGGGTCCTAAAATTTCTCACCATTTTTATACTGATGATCTTATTCTGGTTGCTAAAGCTGATATTAATCAGATTGTGACAATTATGAATGTTCTTGATTAGGAATGTTCTTGAGGAATTTTGTGTTATCTCTGGTTTAAAAATCAATACAAATAAATCATCTCTAGTCTTCTCTAGGAACTCTGACCCTTTTCTTGTAGAGTTCATCTCTGAGTACCTAGGTTTTAATATTTCTAGCCAGATTGGGAGTTATTTAGGTATTCCCATTCTCCACACTAAACCTAATAGGAGAAATTTTACTTTTCTTGTTGATAAAATTAGGAAGAAACTCTTCCAATGGAAGATGAACACTCTCTTCTTAGCTGATAGGGTGACTTTGGCTCAGTCCAGCCTTATGAGCATCCCTTCCTATGTCATGCAATCTAATTTAATTCCTCTCTTTGTCTGTAATGATATCAACAGCCTTTGTAGGAAGTTTATTTGAGGCTCCTTGAGTGGGAGAAAATGCAATTTGATTAGCTAGAAGAAAATCTGTAAATCTAAAGATGCGGGGGCCTGGGTTTCAGAAACCTTGAGCTTCTTAATAAAGTTTTCCTCATGAAACTTTGCTGGAGATTAATTTCATCTCCTTCTAATCTTTGGGTCCAAATTCTTAGGCATAAGTATAGATTTACCCTGGGCCAATACCCTAGTTTTAAGTCTAGTAAATATGTTTCCTATCTTTGCAAAAATATAGCTTCTATTTGGCCTATTTTCTCTAAGGGTTTGGGTTGGATTATTAAGGATGGCACATTTGCTAAATTTTGGTCTGATGAGTGGATCTCTAAAGTCAGTAATCTTATTAGTTACTCTAAGCATTCTGTCTCTAAGTTAGATTTGTCCTCTCTTGTGTTTTTATTTATTGCCAATAGAGTTTGGGACTGGCCCAAAATTTAGGAGGTTCTTCTTGATAGCATTTGTAACTCTATAAGGCCTGTTAGTCCCCTTGAATCTTCTAGTGGCCCTGATAATGTGTTTTGTTCTTTAACGACCAATGGAATCTTTTCTCTTAAAACTGCTTACCAACTACTCTCTGCTCCCTCTAATACTCACCCCTCCTATAATAGTATTTTTAAGCTGGTTTAGAGCTGGAAAGGCCCCCCCAAAAATTGTCTTTTTACTGTAAACAATTGCTTATAGCAGACTGCTTACTAATGAAGAAAGGTTCAGACAGAATATGTCTACCTCTTCAACTTATCCTAGATGTGGTGATATTTTTTAATCTGTTATGCATGTTTTGAGAGATTGTGAGTTTGTTAGGGAGGTTTGGGACCATTTAATTTTTCCAACTCAATGAATGCTTTTTTTCAGTCTAGGCCTGTTTGAGTGGTTAAATATGAATCTATCTAATTCATCCCTTATTTTTTTTTTTTTTCATAATTGGAACTTTGTTTTAGGTTATGTTGTTTGACTTCTTTGGTCTAATAGAAATAATTTCATTTTCTCAAATCATTTTGCACAGCCTAGAGAAATTATTTTCAAAGCCTTGTACGAAGCTAACTACCTTTCCTATTGTTTCATGTTTAACTCCAGATCCATTTCTACATCGGCTTCTAATCACAGGTGTTATAGATGGTGCCCTCCTCCAACTGGCCAGTTCAAGCTTAATATTGATGGGGCAGTGGCCATCTCTAGAGTTGATGCTTTTGCTTGTGCAGGTCTCCTTCGTAATGATCAAGGGCATTTAATTGCTGGGTTTTACAACACTTTCTCCTCCTATTTTCCTCTTATGGCTAAACTTTGGGAAATTCTCTTGGGAGTCCATTTGGCAGTTAATCTTCACATTTATATGATATGGATTGAGAGTGACTCCAAGGATGCCATTGGCCTCATCCTCCATCCTCAATCTTCATCCCATCCGCTGTGATTTCTCATTAATTCAATTTAATTTTTGCCTAGGTCCATTCAGTTTGTTAGGATTAGAGATATTCATAGAGAGACCAATATGTGTGTCGATTTGTTAGCTAAGCTTGGTCTTGAGGAGATATCTTCATATACTGCGTTTTCTGCTGTCCTTATTTCCCTTCTCTCCTTTTTGAATCTGAATGGTGCTAGGTCTTTTGATACTAGTGGTGCTTAGTATTTTAGAATTGTAGTTTGAGTTTTGTTTTGCTAGGTCTTTTGACTCTATTTACTATTAAAAAAAAAAGTGATGTAGTTATACTCTATTATCTAAAAAAAAATTATTTATAAAATGTAAAATAGATTTACATAAAAGAAATTTACAAAAAATTTAAATTTTTTTATAAATTAATATGAAATTTAATAGTATTTTAACTTAATTTTAAATATTGTAATATTTGTTAAGTTATTTTTATTTAAATAAGTGTAATTAGTATAATAAATATTTATGTATGTTGAAATAAAATGTATTTTTTAATTAGTTAATATAAAAGATTTTGAAATTATATTTGTAGAAATTTAATATTAATTTTAAATATTATATTGTTAATATATTTTATTTTAAAGTTATATTCAAAAAGAAGTTAAAAAAATTTCACAAAAATCAACGCAACTATAAAAGTACATTAATTAGGTATAAAAAAATTTAATATTAAGTTATGGACGAAAGACATTGTTAAATACATTACAACATATATCATATGCTGTCGGCTTAAAAAAATTATTTTATTTTTACTTTATTTTAATTATTTGTTATTTAAAAAATATTAAATAAATAAATAAACTTAAAATTTGAAGTTAAAAAAATAATTAAATCATATAGACATTTAAAAACATATAACCTGCTTGACACGTGGGGTAATATCTAAGGTGAAAAAGGACAGCCGTACAAATATGATTGGACATGTCAGTGATTTGACGGCAACGATGTGATAATACACACCACTAGGCAGATTTATAATTATGTTACTATCTTCGGAAAGTCGTCGTCCACACAATAATAAATATATTTTGTTTTACGAAAATAGTTATTGTAATGTAAGAAAAAAATTATTGACTTTCATGTTTCATAAATGATCGGCTTCTAATTTATATGATTAAATTTTTTTAAAAAAATATTATCCAATAATTTACAGAATTTTGTTAAAAAATACATGTAAATTTATTTTGAAAATTAAAGCTCCTCAAATAATTGTTTTCTTTACTTGTCATTTTATACATATAATCTTTTTAAAGAAATTAAATCCCATCATAATAATATATATCTTGGAATGTCTACTTAATCAAAGATAGAAAATACAATTTAACACTCGTTTTCTTTATACGATTCTCATATTCTATCTTTATATGTAAGACAGAGAAAAAAAGATGTGAAAAGTATTTGAATAAAAAGGGGTCGCAATCTCGATTTTGGACGGTTTGACTACAGGTAGACTTATACCCATTTTTATTTAACAAAATATCCGAAAGAATAAAGATAGATAATTTTGTAATAAGGTAAGAAGGTTCCATCATTTAGCTATATTTGGGAGAGTTGGAAGTATAGTGTCCTTTCCTTTCTTGAACTCGAGCCAGCATTTTATTCAGGTTTTCTCTCCCTTCCTTATCTCCTTCCATGTCCTCTCTCCGAATTATTTAGGATATTATTTTCTTTCTATTAATGGTAAACATTTTTGGCTTCCACTTGTTTGGATAGCTTTTGATTACACAACCAGCATCAACGAGCTACTTCGGGTCCAATCAACACAATAAAAAAACCCTTCTATCCAAAGCTTCTTTGGGCTATCCCACTCTAGAACAAGCTTCCATCTTAGCTTTACTTTTATATTTTAGGTTTTCTCTTGCTGGATTTCCCCAGATCTGAAGATGGGTTTTCATTAGGGTTTCTTGACTTCAACTTGACTAGAGAAATATTTAGCAAAATCCCAAGTTTTTGTTATGTATATACTATTTTCTTAGTACGTATGGTGTGTGTTATTATTATGAAAAAGGTTGAGGGAAAAATAATAATAAAAATGAATTTTGATTGTGTTTTCTTTTTCAGATTTAGTTGAGATGGCAAGACAGAAAATAAAGATAAAGAAAATTGATAATTTAACGGCGAGGCAAGTGACGTTTTCTAAGAGAAGGCGAGGGATATTCAAGAAAGCTGAAGAGCTTTCAGTACTGTGCGATGCTGAGGTTGGTCTCATTATTTTCTCAGCTACTGGGAAGCTCTTTGAATACGCCAGCTCCAGGTATGATATTGCACACCCTTTTGAGTTTTCGTTTCATATGTATAATCTTGGATGTAGTGTTAGTGTCTAATCTATGAATGGCGATCCCGTATCACACTCTTAATAGTTTTATGGAAACATATAATATTCTATTGAAATTCAGAATATATCAGCTAGAAGCTAAGGTACTTGGATCTCCTCAGTTGACAGGCTTTATTTAGATCTGTGTGTTTGGATTACCATTTTAAGCGTAGGTTTTTTAAAATTAATTGTGTTTAATAGTAAACTTAAAGTAGTTTTGAAAACTTTTTTTTATAACAAATTTTAGTATAAGTTTTTTCTTAACTTAATACAGGAGTTATATACCATGCTAATTTAAATACCAGATTGAAAGCTAAATTATTTTTAGTTAAAAGTATCTACATATTATTTTTCTTATAAAAATATTTAAATAAATGTAAATTTTATAATATTTTAATGTGCATCTAAACATGCCTTTATTGTATTAATAGTTCTACTAATATGTTTTTTCTACAGTAATATATAGTTTGTCTATTTTTAGTGAATAAAATGGTTTTCAATACCAACTTGTTTAAGACTTTACTATAATTTCTTTATTCACTAATAATTTAATATAAATTAACTTTTGTCATTATTTTAATAAAATTAAACTATAATATAAATATAATTAAATGAATTTAATTATACTAACTGTATTACACTATATTAACAAATAAGTTTATTAGTGTGTAAAAATACATATCAATGTATATCATCGGTGTGTATATTTATATATATAGTAGATCTTAACAATTTAATTTTCATTTGATAAAGGTTATATTAACAACGACAAATCTAATGTTTGATAAGGTAATCAATTGATAAATATATTTTTTTTTTGCGGTGTCTATTTATATTAACATTTTAATAAAACCACTTATTAAATATAATTATAATATTTATTCAAATTAATCTGAAACATAAATTTTATATGTAGTGTGAGGAATTGATTATTTGATTCTTGATATATAACAACCAAGACCTCTTTTAACTTTTGGGTGAAGAAAATTATTTTTCAGATGAGTGAAAATGTTTAATTTTTTAAAGTGAATATAACTAATTTTGGATGCTGGACCATATCATACGAATAGAATCCATTTCTTTAAGTTCACTTTTAAAATATTATTTTTAACATAATATTTTCAATTCTTCAAAAATTAAACCTTTTAATATTAAATCATTCAAAATAAATTATACTAAAATGTCATTCAAATGGACTCCAAATAAACTAGTTTTGTCTTCTGTACATAACCAAACGTTGTCAATATCAAGATATACTGCATGCACGATGTTAATAATATACTCTTTTCTCAATACATCATTTAGGAAAATTGACATAAATTTTATTTAATAATAAAATTTGTACATAACGGAGATGGGTCAACTCTAAAAAATCTCTAATCGATCCAACTTTTTTTTAGCTGTAAAACATTACACATAATAATAATTTCTGTATAATAAAATTTTATTATTATAAAGTTTAATGCAATTTAAGACATGAATATTATGTGTAATATTTCATTAGTTAGACAAACCGGTATGTATATACATGCAACTTATACTTAATTAAAAAAAAAAGGAGAGAAAAAAATCCTCTCAACTCATACACTTAATGCATATTTGGTTCAATGTCGGTGTGTGCGACTTTATGAAGCAGCTGTGAGTAGTTTATGAATCTAAAACATATGTATATGTGATTCTATCTGGCATCCAAACACGCACTTAATTTCTCTTGATAAAAAAAATCACCTGATTTTTTTTTTCTAAATAAAAAAATTAAAAGCTAACCATTTTGAATTGGGAAGTATTAACTAGCATACAAGTACTTTTCTGCGTGCATGGTGATGGTTTTTAGTGCTTTGCTGGTTTGAATTCTTACACATTTTTGAAAATGTTATCGTAAGTTTCTTTTAACTTCATGATACAATTATTTTCATTGTTTGTAATATAGTGTAAGCATAAATTTATTTTTAAAATAATATAAATTTTTGAATGTCTGTCACATCCACAACTTCTTAGTTGTGTGTGTTATAATATTTTATCAGTAAAATTATTTGCACCTAGCAAGAATATATACAAGTTTAGATGCTAATTTTACGTTGTTACTCATTAGCTTCATTTGCAACTTTCTTTATCAGCAAAAGGAAATATATTTTATAAAATCCAAGTCACAAAACCTGTCTTCTGCAGCGAAAAATCAACAGCATAGGAATAGCAAAAATGCCACTCAACAAGAAAAAAACAAGCATAAAAAGACGCTTAAAGTACTGAACAGTTTTATTATATATGTTATGAAAGAAGTATATATAAAGGATAGTTTCTAATCCGTTACACAACGTCAAAAGCTAAAGAAGAAGCCTTTACAATGAAGAGGACTAAGAAACCGTTGAGAAAATAAAGAGGACTTCAAATCTAGATTACCTCCTTTACCTTGTTCAAATTCATTTGCTCTACACTAAAAATTATTTCAGTTCTATGAATTAAGTCATGTTGACCAACTACCAACCACCCAAATTATAATCCAAATTCTTTAAAGTTTTCCCTTTTAATAGACCCAAATGATAAGTGAACTGAGATGTATAATTCAAACCATTTTATAAAACCCAAACTAGAAATAGAAAGCATACCAAATTTGTATAGAGAAATTACAAGAGTAGAAGAGATGTGGAGATTACTCTAATAGACAGACAATTCAAGGGGATCTAACTGACATATCTTTTGGCTACTTCACCCTAGTAGATATCCTATTCATATCACTAACCATGCAAAGGCAATACCATGGAGGGAGCTAAGGCACTAACAAAGGCATTTAAAAATTGAATTATGTACCGCAACAATACATTTAAACTAGAATTTGATCATGGTTGAAGGAGAAAAGAATAAGAAAATGTTTTTTGTACTATTAAATTGGGACATATTTTGATGTCCGCTTTGAGTTTTTGTGTTATGTTGTCTTCTTTGTTTTGTTTTTATTTATCTTTTCATCTTATGTTACTCCATTTTGAGTTCTGTCCTCACACACGCTGTAATAGCGTCGGTAAAAATATCTATTTTTCTTTTTGTCCCATAGTTTTTAAGATTTTTAAAGGTATAAAAGGTTTTTCTCTTTTAATAAATAATTAACTTTCTTTTTTTTGCCATCAAAATAACATTATTTAAAGTCTTTTTAAAGATAAAATAGTCTTGTCAAGCTATATCTTTAACCCATTTTCTTCTTCACTTTTGTTTAACGTTTCCTTCTTCAATATCTATATCTCTTTCTATTTTTTAAGTGGGTATGTCTCTATCTCTGATTTGAGGGTAGCTCCATTTCCTCGTCTATCTCTGTTTTGCTTTCATCATTAGGTGTCGAAGTTGCAATAGCAACAATTGCTGAAAAATCAGGAGTTAAAGAAAACTCAAAACTTCAATAAAAACAAAAAGCAGAAGATGGAAGGTGAACTATGAATAAAGAACACATGTTGAAGAAGAGAGAAATAAGAAACGAAGAAGAGAGGCGATGATATATTTTATTTTATTTTGGCTAAACCGCCATTTTTCTGCCATGATCATCATTATTGCCATGTGCCTAATGGTTGTTATAGCGCCGCCACCGAAAAATGGCATGCTTGTAAAAGAGAGCATAAAAAACGCCACCAATTTCTGTTATCACGGCGCATAATTTGATAAGAGTGTTATTAACTCTCCTCCCGCTTCTGTGAGCTAACCTAACTATGTCAGACTTTAAAAATAGTTGATCAACATCCTCCTCTTCCTTGATACAAAGACTGTATTGAACAATGGTTTGATCTATTATGAATTAATCCACTGACATTATAAAGTTTTGCAATTAAGCATGAATGCATCTATTGCAATGAAACCATGATGATCAGAAATATGGATTGAAGCTGACGAAATTTTAATCTGGATTTAGACTAAGAAATTTATCTCCTCTATTTTAATTGATAGTTTATCCAAGAAGGATAGCTAAATAAATTACTTTTTTTTTAAAGCTTTATTAAAAGTCATCAATTCTATTAGGTTTTCAGTTTGGCTAGGTCTATTGGATTTCAATCCTCTCTTATATCAAGATGGTAGAAAAGACCTAAAAAAATGATTATTACGATTTCTTAGTTATATTTTTATTTACAGGGTGTATTAGAACTACCGTGTTCCTACGTTTCTCCATTGTAATTAAATTGTATCTTTCCTTCTAACATAATTTTATCTTTTTACCTTTCTCTCTAACATAATTATGTCTTTTTACTCAAAATAATAAGATGGAATCCAAATCTAAATTTACATACTGAAATGGTGTGCAATTTGGGATTCAACAAGTGCGTGGCTTTTTACCTTACTGTTTTGGTTTGGTAAAGTATGAAGGACATAATTACAAGGTATAATCAGCACTTACATGACACCAACGAATCGGACAGATCCCAAAAGCTGCAGGTAATTTTACAGTGAAATAGAATTTAGTGAGACTAAGTGTTAAATTTTATATTTATATTTTTTAATATTTTTTTATAAAATACAAAATTAACTAATTTAACTGTTAAATTATATTATGTTATTTTTATAATTATGTATATCAAATCTCATACAATTTCAATATTTGTAGATATGTTATCTAAAATTTAATATTTACTTAATTTTAAAAATATAATATCTTTAAAATAAAGTAACGTATTATAATACTTATTAATTTATAAAAAAATATTTATTTAATTATAAAATGGGCTTGTTTTCTAAATTTAACGTATATACTCAAGTCTAAACTGTAATTGTAATACCTTGACATAATTGCCTTAATTTATTTTTAGCTGAGATGTCTATCATCATATTTATTTATGCACTTGTATATCTTTTTCTTAAACTATTTTTGGTTTGTGAGACAGTGACTTGCGTGATCAAATTTTTGCTGTTTGAAAACATGTTAGAAATCTCTAAACGTAGATTTAACATAGAAATTACAATTATTAACATTGAAGCATTCTATTGCGGAACCAAACATGCTATTAATGTTTGTGTATTTTATGCTTTCAAGACCATTAATTTATGATGAGTTTGTCTAAGTTTTTTTATGGGCTAAATAATTTATTTTAAATGAATTAGTAAAGTTAAATATAAGCTTTTTTAAAAAAAATTATAGACAAAATATTTTTATTCATTTAAAATAGTTATGAATTCTGTGAAGTAACTTAACTAATTTATATATGACATAGAATTTACTAATAATTGGCACTTTTATCGTTGATTTCAGCTAGAGCATTACGTTGAATTGAGCAAGGAAGTAGCTGATAAAACCCAACAACTAAGGTTTTTCAATATTCTTAAAGTGATTAAAATATAAGAAAAATAAAATGCCTATAGTTTTTGAGTAAAATCCAATGTTTATATATTTTGACCAGGCAGATGAGTGGTGAGGATTTTGAAGGGCTAAATTTAGATGACTTAAAGCAACTGGAGAAAACACTTGAAACAGGACTCGAGCACGTGGTTGAGACTAAGGTATATGCAGGGGGTGATTTGATTAATTTGGACAAAGGCCTGGTGCATGTTGATTACATATACTATAATGCAATGCATGATTTTTACATTCAGGAAACGCGTATTATGGGTGAGATCATTGCACTTCAGCAAAAGGTTTGTTGATAGCTTATATGATGATGATGATGTTAATCAGAGTATTTCTGATAATAATAATTTTAATGAAAATAATAGAACTATAATTTGCCTTAGTACATAGTGCTTTTGACCCCTCTAAAAGGCTAAGCTTCTTGTCTAGTTTCGTAGTTATGTGCGCACTTGCAAGCATCCGTGCGTATGAATATTGTTGGGGTATATGTTAAGTGAAAGCAAGAGTTCAGAATCACATAAAAATGGTTTATATTGTTTTATTTAAATATTTTCTTTACCATCCATTTTTATTCTATGACTAAGATTTTCTTCTCTCTGGTGAGAAAAAATATATTTTACACTAAAGAGATTATAATTGGAGATATCATTATTTTTAGCACACAAGTTTTTATAAAAATGAAAAATGTCTGTGTTTAAGTGGGGTTTGAATTATTAATTAATGTAATTGGAAGTAATCAAGTAGAGTTACTTAGAAATTGAACACTGATCCAAGTACTTCTACATGACAGACTTCATCACAAAAACTGGCGAGTAACGGCAGACCTATATATATACTTCCTATATATTTTTGTTTCACGTATAACATGAAACTGACTTTATTCCTCATAATGTATATATGTACGAGGTCAAATTATATTGTGTGCATATGTTTCAGTTTTGGGATATCATTATAATTTAGTGAACTAATGACTTTGGTCAAAGATCTTTTTTTCTTTTTAAAGTTTTACAGTCACATCAGATTGAATATATTCTGAGGATTTTGCTTAATTTGTTGTGTATTCTTTTTAACCATATGCCAACAAAGGGAATCAAGTTAGAAGAAGAGAACAGGAAGCTAAAGCAAAAGGTATATGAGAAGTGAGATACCATGATTTAGATTTATTTGTGTATTTTTAATTTTCTGCAGTTTATTTTGTTTTCGTATGATCATGGTCTGTTCTCATTGACTCTACAACAATAAATTAGCTAACTGGGTCGCAGACGGCTATGCTGTGGAAGGGAAAAAGTTCTCTACTGGTGGACTCGGATATTACCATGCAAGAAGTTGTGTCATCAGACTCTATAAACGTGTGTAGCTGCAATAGTGGCCCTTCTCTTGAGGATGATTCCTCTGACACATTTCTTAAGTTAGGGTAAGCCTGATTGAACCGTGTTGACCCTTATTGTTAATTGGATCGAAATCACTTGTTCCCATGCATTCTTTTTGTTGTCTCATTACTTGTACATTGAAAAATGACAAATTACTATAAGTATATAATGTTCTTTCTCTTTATTGTTAGTTTTCTTCTTCTTATTATTATTATTATTATTGTTATTGAGATGTGGGTTTTTAGTTGGACAAACATTGATGGGGATCGGAAATGGTAACAAGTGATTTGAGTCCTTGACAATCAACTATTTATTGCCGCAAAAATTTGCTACATATAATTACCAATTAGTATATGTTAACAAGTTTTTTGGTCGTTTCAGGTTGCCCTTCCCCAGTTGAAATGGGAGGATGTAACAGTGAGGGAGTCTTAGATTTCGTGATTGTAAATTTTGGATGAAGATTCACTAACATTTCTGAAAAAACCGAACAGAGGTGCATGCAGTTCTCATCCAATTGTCCATGTTTATTATAAGATAAGCTTGTCATTTATGGGTTTATAATATAACCAAATGGTTTAAGGGCTTGGATCTCTCTGCAGTTTTCATTAGATCATCCGTAAATTTGTTTTACGTTTTACCAATCAAAATTAAAGAAAAGCAACACATTAACAACTGGAAGATAATGCTCTTTTAAATTATTCTTGTTTTTGAATCAGGTGAAATTAGTAGTCAAAATTATTTTGATAGTTCTTCAGAGTCACCAAATTTGATTAGCCAACATCCACTCCTACAACGAGATAATATTTTACTTAAGACTTAAGTTAAAATAATTATTGTTATAAATTAGGAAAATAATATATAATTATAACAATTATTGTTATAAATTGGAAACATAACATATATATATTAAAGATACAAATTAGTTCCTTCTATAATAGCAGTGCGTGCATATTAGTATTTTATTTAAATTGTTTTGCCAATCTTTTACATAAGTCATTAGACATTTAAGTCCTCACTGTTAATAGATGCTTAAAAGATGTTAATTTTTGTAGTTGAGTAATACATAAATTCTAAAACCAGATTGTTTCACGTATTCTCTTCTCTCTCTCTCTTCCTCTCTCGTTGGAGTCATATTGCTCAAAGTGGTTGGTGCCCTTAAATCCCCCACCTCCCTTTCTCTCTCTCTCTACCCCTCACTTTGTAGTGGTCAATACCTTTAAAACTTTTATCACCTCTCTTTCTCTAACCCTTCTTGGAGTCACGCGCCACTGTATCTAAGCCTCTCACAGAGATACGTCCTTCTGTCCCATAACCTCCTCTCCTTGTTCTTTGTTCCTATCATCTTCCTCAACCACCATCAAGACTCGAAACATAGGATTCTCATCCGAATGCTAAGAGCCTGCAAATTGTAGGCCAAAGTTGTTGCTCATTTCATCCTCCTCAACCCCTCCGCTACGAACTAAACGCCCATACTCACTCATACTTATCATGAATAAAATACACACAAACCAGCAATAAATCACAAGTGAGTTTCATTTTTTCTTGGACATGAACCACCATTGAAGAATTGAAGATATAGTTACAACAATTACTCTAATGTAGAGAGAGATGGGAGAAGTGGTGAGAGATTTTTGGGGCAAAATAGTGATATAGGAGGTGGAGTCAGTGGAGAAGGGATAACAGAAGGTGAGAGGAGGCAGTTGGGAGCAAGGAGAGAACATTGAAGATAAAATAATTTTGACCCCCTTGTCTATAATTAAACTTTACTTTTACTCAAATGTAGGGCTTTGAACCCATATTTATATAACTAGTAATTTATTGAATACATCTACTTTATTATTGAGTATATTAAATTTTAAAACTTAACTTTATCTACTTATTATTTTATATATTAAAATTTAAAATATATAAAGTCATTCCCATTAATTTCACTTATTTATTATTCTGTATATTAAAATTTAAAACATATAATTAATAAATTAAAATAATATTTTATTCATACTTATTATCTTTGAATTATATTTAAAAAATATTTATTAGTATTGATGGTTATATTATGTTACAAACGACAACATTTTATATATATATTATTTATTAGTATATATAACTTCAATTGTATTTAAAAAATATTTATTAGTATTGATGGTTATATTATGTTACAAACGGTAACATAAATATTTATACTATAAATTAGCTTAAATTATCGTTATTAAAATTAATTATAATATTTTTCATAATTTATGAATTAAAATTATTATTGTGTTTTAATATAATCTATATTTTATTATGTATTTCAAACACTAAAATATATTTTGAATTAAAAAATTAAACTTACAAAATTATTAGTTTATAATAGATGTTATTAAATTAAATTTATAATAAAAGATAAATTTACATATTTAAATTATTTTATTAATTAGTTTAACATAATTTTTTATTGTAATATAAAATACTCAATTAGCTCAAAAATGAACGAATGCTTAAAAAAAAATTATTGAATAATGTCACAAGATTAGTTTATAATATATGTTGTTAAATTAAATTTATAACAAAAGACAATTTTGTATATTTAAATTGTTTGATTAATTAATTTAACATAATTATTTATTGTAATAAAAAATACTCAATTAGTTCAAGAATGAACAAATGCTTAAAAAATATTATTGAGTAATGTCACAAGAATTATTTTTTATAATTAATATCAAAATAAACAATTGAACTTATAAGATTATTATTTTTATTATAGATTGTTAAATTAAATTTTTAATAAAAAATTATTTGTGAAAAAATTAATTTTATTAAATGTAGTTTGAATTAAAAAAAACACATTTATAGAAAAATTACTTTTATTATAGATCGTTAGATCAAATTTATAATTATATCTAATAAGAGTGACTATAAATTGCTTTAAATTATCATCTACTAAAAATAGTTATAATATTTTTTATAATTTACGATTTAAAATTATATCTGATTTATAAGTTTAAAATAATTTATAATTTAATGTATACTTCAAATACCAAAGTATGAGTTGAATTAAAAAATTACACTTATAAGATTATTACATTTATTATAGATTGTTAAATTACATTTTACATACAAATTATTTATGAAAAAATTACTTTTATGAAATGTAGTTCAAATTAAAAAAAATATTTATGAAAAAATTACTTTTATTATAGATTTTTAGATCAAATTTCTAATGAAAAGATAAGTTTACATATTTAAATTATCTATTTAATTAGTTTAATATATTATGTAGTTAAAAAAAAACAAATGCTTAAAAAAAATCTATATATATATATATATACACATATATATGTGTGTGTGTGTAAAATTGACTACACCTACTTTATTACTGAGTATATTAAATTTTGAAACGTAACTTCATCTACTTATTACTTTATACATTAAAATTCAGAATATATAAAGTCGTTTCTATTGACTCCACTTAGTTATTACTCTGTATATTAAAATTTAAAACGTATAATTGATGAATTAAAATAATATTTTATTCACACTTATTATATTTGAATTGTATTTAAAGAATATTTATTAGTATTGATGGTTATATTACGTTACAAACGACAACATTTTACCTATATACTATTTATTAGTATATATAGCTTGAATTGTATTTAAAAAATATTTATTAATATTGATGGTTATATTATTAGGAATGGCAATGGGTAAAGTACCCGATGGGCACCTGCAAAATTTACCCACAATGGGTAGGGTATTTACCCGCTATACGGGTACGGGTATGGGTGTGGGTAAAAACTCGCAAATTTTAATAGGGATGGGTGCGGGTATGGGTATCTAAGTACCTACCCCGCCCTATACCCGCATATATATATATATATATATATATATATATATATATATATATATATATGTATGTATGTATATATGCTTGAACTTTATTCTACAATTATGAATTGAATTTTTGTATTATTATATTGCTTATGTGAAGTTATATAAGATTAATATAAAAATATATTTAATAATAAAGTAAACCAAAAAATTTATTTTGGTTTATATTTTTAATAGAAAAATTTATTTACTATTTTATATCATTTAATTAGGCTAACACAATTTAATTATTACATTGTTAATATGAGATTGACTTTTTTTTAAAATATTATTTATATATGACACATAAAATATTTTTTACACAAATATTTTAATTAATAAAATCATATTGATGTTTAAATCATAAAGTGAATGATAAATAATAAATATATTATAAATATTTTATAAATTTTACAATCACCTACTATTACTGTAAACTTATTATTTATTAATAATATTTAAATTTTATTTTTATATTTTAATTTAAAATAATATTTTTCTATGCAACATATGTATTATAAGCACAACTATAATCTATTGAATCTAAATAATATTATTCTTACTATTTATTCACATTCAAAGAAGTTTTTGAAAAGATATAAATATAAAAAAATTTTGTTAATTTTTATTTGTTAATTTTTTTAAGATAAAAAAGTATAATTTTTTTAATATACACGTATATTTTTTTATTATAAAATTTTGTTGTAACTATTTATCTTTTATTCAAATTCTTTTTTTTTTAATTTATATACATTATAAATATTTAATTCACTAAAATAATTTTTCCAAAATTTATATTTTTGATAAAATACTTTCGTATAGTATATGAGTTAAAAAATACTTGTATTAATATATATATATATTAATTATATTATATTATTTTAATTAAATCTATTATTTTTCTTACAATTTCAAATTCAAAAGTTAAAAAAAATATTTTATGTATCAACTTTCTATTGTTAGTATTGAACTTCTCTACTCTAACTCTATTCTAATTCTCAATGTTTGTCTCACTAAAACTTAATAACTATGAAATGTTATTCATTAGAGTTAGTTGTTAATGTCGTCCCAAGAGGTTACTAAGTGATCCCACACGAAGGGACAATCATTGTACAGATCTATTTCGTTGTCGTTCTGACATTACCAATCAATCAAATCTCATATAAGATAGGATTATCACTGACAAATAACTTGTGTGTTTAGTTTTGCTTATTGTTTCTAAGAATTTTAGTTTAGAAAATTATTATATTAAGATACATTTAACATTTATGATCTTTGAATATTTGTTTTTTTATCTATATTTGTACCTTGTTCGACAACTATATATTGAATTTTTATATTATTAGCTACTTATGTGAAATTATATAAACATATTTTTCTTTATAAATATTTTTTTCTCAAACAAGCGCTGGTAATGGGTACAAGACGGGTATGCGGGTACCCAGAGGGTACGGGGATTAATGTTCATACCCACGCGGGTATGGGGCCGGGTACGAGTATTTTTTTAAAACGCGAATATGGGGATGGGTACCATAGTACCCTACCCATACCCTACCTATTGCCATCCCTATATATTATGTTACAAACTGCAACATAAATATTTATACTATAAATTAGCTTAAATTATTGTTATTAAAATTAATTATAATATTTTTCATAATTTACGAATTAAAATTATTATG